TCCGGTGGCTCTGTACCAAGCCGCGAGACCGGGATGACTCGCTTTTCGCCCCAATCCAAAGTTTTTTAAAATTTCAAAGAGATCATTTTGCTTCCGCTATATGATTAAATATCCGATAAACCGGTTCGTTTTATCGCCCGTATAGAAGGGGGGTGCTACAGAGAGTGGTATCAGAGCATGGTTCATAGATACTCGTACGAACTTCACGGGTTTAAAGACTACTCGAGACGCGAAGCTCGGACCATCCGGTAAAGTATGTGTATTATTTCTTTATGTGTTTTATTTGCTTTACTTACTAATAATAATTAATATAGAAATAATGGCGAGACGTATAACCCGAGGAAACTCGAACACTCCCACCAATGAACCACAAGACCCCAATCAAACCATTAACGATCTTTCGAACTTAATCCGTGAACAAGCCCAAAACCACCAACGTCAAATCGAACAACTCCTCCAACGTAACCAAACCCCGCCTCAAAATAACGCGCCTCAAGCCCTATACGAACGATTCCTCCGAATGAACCCATCCAAATTCCACGGTGGAACCGACCCCGCTATAGCCGAAGAGTGGATCAAATCTCTCGAAGTCATATACGACTACATGCAAATGACCGACCGCGACCGCGTACATTGTGCCATATTCCTACTCCGAAACGAAGCTCGTCACTGGTGGGAAGGAATCAAAGAAGGAACGAACCTCGAAACTCTACCATGGACCGATTTCAAAGTCCAATTCTTCGAAAAATATTTCTCGAAAGACGTACGAGCCCACAAACTCAAAGAATTTCTCGAACTCCGACAAGGCGACTTACCAATGATCGAATACATCCGCCGTTTCGAACGTGGCTGCCTCTACGCTCCATTCATCGCTCGAGACGCCGAGGAAAAGAAGAACCATTTCATTCGCGGCCTCCAACCAGAAATCCGTAGAGACATTCGTATGTCCGACGCCTCGACTTTCCGCCAACTCGTAGACAAAGCACTCATGGCTGCCCAAGACGAACGAGACATTCAAAACAGCCGCCGACCACAAGGAGTTACTCAACGCCCGTGGAAAAAGAACAACTTTGGCAACCGCCCATTCCGAGGAAAGGGAACGCAGCCCCTCCGCCCACCGACCGGACCACCGCCACCGCCGCCAAGGCCAACCTGCCCAAAGTGTGGAAAAAGTCACTCCGGAGAATGCATACAAGGAACGAGAAGTTGCTTTCGATGCCATCAGCCCGGACACATGGTGAAAGATTGCCCGAAACCCCCACCGAACGTCCCCGGCCGAGTGTTCGCCATGACTCAAGAACAAATCGAGCAAGACCCGTCTATGATAGCAGGTACCATATTTATCCTCGAAGAACCCATTTACGCTCTTATCGATTCCGGCTCTACTCATTCATTTATATCGAAAGACATAATTGCGCACTTAAATCTCGAACCAAATCGACTAAACTACGAATACCGAATTCTCATTCCCTCTGGCGAAGAGATGTGCTCTGACCTAGTCATAATAAATTGTCCAATCCGAGTTCATACTCAACCCATGAATTTCGACCTAATCCTTCTACCGATCCAAAACTTCAAAGTTATACTAGGCATGGATTGGTTAACTAAATTCAAAGCCCAAATCGACTGTGCCTCAAAAACGGTCAATTTTCCTATTCCGAACGGCGAAACTCTAAAATTCCGAAGTCAACCCAAACCCTCGATTCCAATCATATCCGCGATCAAAGCAGTCAAACTCATTCACAAGGGCCATTCCGGCTACTTAGTGGATATTCTAAAATCCGAGTCCGATCCCAAAGCCCAAATTTCCGACATTCGAGCTGTCCAAGAATTTCCCGACGTATTTCCCGATGACATCCCCGGACTTCCACCCAATCGAGAAATCGAGTTTGAAATCAATCTGATTCCCGGCGCTACGCCAATTTCCAAAGCACCGTACCGTATGGCCCCGATGGAATTCAAGGAGCTGAAAGATCAAGTCCAAGAATTACTCGACAAAGGCTATGTTCGACCCAGCCATTCCTCGTGGGGTGCACCGGTTCTCTTTGTCAAAAAGAAAGACGGATCCCTCCGCCTTTGCATCGATTACCGTGAGCTCAACAAAGTCACAATCAAGAATAAATACCCTCTTCCTCGAATTGATGATCTTTTCGATCAACTTCAAGGCTCATCGGTCTTCTCGAAAATCGACCTCCGATCCGGTTATCATCAACTCAAAATCAAAGAATCCGATATCCCCAAAACGGCTTTCAGAACCCGTTATGGCCATTATGAATTCGTTGTCATGCCCTTCGGTTTAACCAACGCCCCCGCAGCTTTCATGGACCTGATGAACCGAGTCTTTCACCAATACTTGGACCAGTTCGTAATTGTCTTCATCGACGACATCCTCATCTACTCCAAAACCCAAGAAGATCATATGTCTCACCTTCGCACCGTACTCCAAACCCTCCGATCGCACCAATTATACGCCAAGTTCAGCAAATGCGAGTTCTGGCTTTCGAGTGTGGCTTTCCTTGGTCACATTGTTTCAGAACAAGGAATCTCCGTCGACCCCAGCAAAATAGAAGCCGTGTCAAACTGGTCAATTCCGAAGAACGCAAAGGAAATTCGAAGTTTCCTTGGACTAGCCGGCTACTACCGCAAATTCGTAAAAGATTTCTCGAAGCTTGCCTCTCCACTCACACGATTAAATCGAAAAGACGTCAAGTACCAGTGGACGCCTGAATGCGACGCCAGTTTCACCGAATTAAAAACTCGACTCACATCGGCACCAATTCTCGCACTACCGGAGAAAGTCGGAGAATTCATAGTCTACAGCGACGCTTCGAAATTAGGTCTAGGCGTTGTACTCATGCAAAATGGAAAGGTCATTGCCTACGCCTAACGTCAACTCAAAGAGTACGAACGCAATTATCCAACGCACGATCTCGAATTAGCCGCCGTCGTTTTCGCACTCAAAATCTGGCGACACTACCTCTATGGTGAAAAGTGTACCATCTACACCGATCACAAGAGTTTGAAGTATTTCTTCACTCAAAAAGATTTGAACATGAGGCAACGAAGATGGCTCGAGCTAGTCAAAGATTACGACTGCGAGATACTCTACCACCCCGGCAAAGCAAATGTGGTCGCCGACGCACTTAGCCGCAAATCGATCAACGCCCTCATAGTCCAACCTAACTTGGGAGAATCGATCAAATCAGCCCAGCAAAACGACCCTCAAATTCTCAAAATTCGCGACAACCTCGAATCCAATCCCAACTTCCGAATCACCAAAGATGGTCTCGTCCGATTCCAAAATCGCATTTACGTCCCCGATGATCCAAATATTCGCCGACTAATCTTAACCGAATCTCACCAAACCACGTACACTTGCCATCCCGGAGAAACCAAGATGTACCAAGATCTCAAAAAGCTGTACTGGTGGCCTGGAATGAAGAAAGACGTGGCCCGATTTGTCGCTGAATGCTTAGTTTGCCAACAAGTCAAAGCGGAACATCAAAGGCCCGGAGGTTTACTTCAATCGAACCTAATTCCGGAATGGAAATGGGAAGCTATCACAATGGACTTCGTGCAAGGATTTCCGAAGACCCAAAGAGGATCCGACGCCATTTGGGTGATCGTTGACCGACTGACCAAAACGGCTCACTTTCTTCCGATCCGAATGACGTTCAGTTTAGAGAAGCTGACCGAACTATACGTCCGCGAGATAGTCCGACTCCACGGTGTCCCCGTCTCCATTATTTCCGACCGAGACCCTCGATTCACGTCCAAATTCTGGAAAAGTTTACACGAAATCCTCGGAACGCGATTAAACTTCAGCACCGCCTATCAACCCCAAACCGACGGCCAATCCGAACGAACTATCAAAACCTTAGAAGATCTTCTCCGCGCTTGTATTCTCGACTTTGGAGGAAATTGGGAATCCCGCCTCCCACTAATCGAATTCGCATACAACAATAGCTTTCACTCGTCAATTGGAATGGCACCCTACGAAGCCCTTTACGGCCGCAAGTGTAGGTCCCCGCTCCATTGGGACGAAATTGGCGAAAGAAAATTCCTTGGTCCCGACCTAGTCCAACAAACCGTCGACATCATCAAAAACATTCGAGAGAAAATGCGAATTGCCCAAGATCGGCAACAAAGCTATGCCAACACTCGAAGGAGAGATCTCGAATTCGAAGTCGGAGACTCCGTATTCTTAAAAGTGGCGCCTTTCAAAGGAATGATGCGATTTGGGAAAAAGGGAAAATTAGCACCACGATTTATTGGCCCATTCGAAATTCTCGACAAAGTTGGTACTCGCGCCTACCGACTAGCCTTACCACCCAAGTTATCCAACTTTCACAATGTCTTTCACGTTTCGATGCTTCAAAAATACATTCGCAGCCCCGACCACATATTGAAAACCGAACCGGTCGAACTAAACCCCAACCTATCCTACGAAGAGAAACCTTCCCAAATACTTGATTCCAAAACCAAAACCCTTCGAAACCGAGACCTTAAATTCGTTAAAATCCTTTGGCAAAATCATACACCCGAAGAAGCCACGTGGGAACGAGAAGAAGAAATGCGCAAGCGATACCCCGAGTTGTTCAGGTAACAATTTTGGGGACAAAATTTCTTTAAGGGGGGGAGATTGTAACACCCCACCTTTCCAAAACCCGAAAACCCTAAAACCCGAGGTTAATATTTCTAACCCGAGATTAATATTCCTAACTCGAGAACCCTTAGGAAATATTATTACGTGATTATATGCATTTCGTGAATTTAATTATGCTACTTACGTAAATAATTACATGCGTTTTTATACGTGTGATTATATGATTTAAATTTTCGTAAATTAAAATTCTAGGAATTTCGTGAATTACGTGACTTATGTGAATTATATTTTATAAAGTGTGATTATATATATATACTAATAATACTTGCTGCATATATATATATATGTGTGTGGCCGTGTAAATGTGTGTGTAGTTAATGCAAGTTGTGTTTATTTATAAATAAAATAATTAGTGATAAACATGCATGCCTTTACACTTGGCACCCCCTAATCATTTCTCTAAACCCACACTCAAAGTAACCCAAAAGACACCCTTCATCTTTCTTCTTCCAACACCTCAACCCCTTACTTGTCTTCTCCATTTTTCTCCACCGTAGCAACATCACCACCTCCATTCTTCTCCTTCTTCCACCTCATCTCTTGTTTTTCAAAGAAAATGAAAAATCCCTTGAAAATTCCCCTATTTAACCACGACCATGGAGCAGCCTAGATCACCACTCATCAAAGAAATATACATCTCATTTGAAAACCCACTCAATCTCTTCTACAATCAAAGTACCTTGGTTAGCTTTCGGTGTTGGAGTGCATCTCTTCTTTCGGTTGTTTTCTTCCCTTCGATTTTAAGGTAAGAAATTTCGATTTCTTGCTGCAATTAAGGGACATCAATAGTATGAAAATGATTTTCATAAAATTTTAAAAGATTGGGGAAGATTTCGAAAAAAAATTAGGGCTTTTTGAAGAAAAATGGAAATTTAGTGTTATTGTTAAATTCTTGTTCTTGCATGCATAATCTATGTTGATAGTGGTTAGATACAGCATTTATTGGCCAAAAGCCTTAAAAATTTCAGATTTCAAAAAGGGGTTTTCAAGAAAAATGAATTTTTAACTTTTTGTGGTTGCATGTGTAGATCTTCGAAAGTTTGGGCCAAATCTGTAATTTTTGTAAAGTCTGTCCGAAAAATGTTTTCAAAACTGTTTTCCAGCATTTATTGAACAAAAATTTCGGATTTAAAGAATTTTTGTAAGAAAAAGTTGGATTTGAAATTCTAGTAGGCTTGCATGTGTAGATCTAAAGATTTTGGGGTAAAATATGTAATTTCCAAAATTTCTGCATAAAGTAACTTTTCAACTTCATTTTCTGCATCTAGTAAAGTGGAATTTCAGATTTGTTAGGGGTTTTCATGAAAAAGTGGAAATTGAACTTCTAGTGTGGTTGCATGTATAAATCTTGAAACTTTTGGGTCAAAACTGCAATTTACGAAAAATATCTCATTTTTTAAGTTTGGATCTGTTTTTCAACAAGTATTAGATAGGAAAAAGTTTTATTTAACAAGTTTTTAAATTAATTAGAGTTATATTAGAGTTTTGGATTTTTAAATTGAACAAGGGATTTTCCTAGTTTTTATTTCAAGAAAATTCGAAACTTTGTGAAACTTTAAAATAATTACGGAATCTGAAATTTGGGTCATTTAGGAGTCCTAATATTTAATTTGGGAATTTTTGGAATTAGTTTGCTATTATTTCGAAATTAGGATAACTTGCATGTCATTTATTATGTTTTGTGCTTTTATTTTCATGTCTTTGATTTAATGACTTTGAGTGATGAGATTTGGATTGTGTACCTTAAATGGCTGCATGGATGTGTTTATTATTGCTGTGAGAATTTATTGGAATGGATTATTACCTCGTTGTGGTGATAAGTCCATTTAATGAAAGGTAAAAATGGGTGCTTACTTTACAAGCATGGTTTCATATTAAATGGTGATGTTTAGTGTGTTGGCTGCATGTGTGTGTGCTGAATATGTGTGTGTGTGTGTGTGTGTGTGTGTGTGTGTGTGCTGAATGTGCATGTGGTGTGTGCCGTGTGTGGTTGTGTGTTTATATGTGTGAATTTGGGGATTCTTGCCCAAATTATAATTGTGTGGTAAATTGTGATATTTGTGTGACTTTGTGGCACTTGATTGATGTTTGTGATGTTATGTGTGGGTCATAAGCATGATTTCGAAAAGTTGCATTAAAAGGTTTTTAAATTGAAAGATTAATGGAATATCGGGTAATAAACAACTCGGATATAGTGGGCCGGTATCCAACTAGGATGATGTGTGTAGTGGTTTGATCCCCACTTAGTGAAAACGGGCTCGTAACAGGTTTATTATCCAGGTACAGAAATTAATCTTTCACGGATCCGATAAAACGAAAAATGTGTTTTTCATGATTTTTACAAAAAGGGCATTTTAGTCATTTTTGCATAAGTAAGTGATTTTGTGTGAATGATGTGTTTTCGTGAGTTATGTGATTTTAATGTCTTGTGTTGTGGTACGGAACGTGGGTAAGAATGGGTATATAATATTATATATTGTATATAACGTATTTTCAAAGTTTGATATTTACTCGGATTTCTTACTGAGCTTTATAGCTCATATAGATGTCTTTTAATTGCAGGTAGTAGCGTTTGTAATCCTCAACCGCGATGGGTCGAGTAGCGGATCGAGGTCTTGCCCGGGATTTTGGAAGACGTACGAGGACCTATGAACGATGCCATATATTTTGGGGTTTTCTTTTGGTGATGTAATATTAAACCGTAACATTTTCTTTTCGTACCTTTTGAACTCATTTTCCGGTATAAATCGTACTTAACCCCTATTATAATATCGTAAGTTTCGTGTTTTGCTATTTTCACGCCTCCATTAGTGAATTCCGATATATTCACCAAAATAACCCTTCTAAACTCTGATTTCTTCTCGAACCGAAACCGATAGTAATACTGTAGCACTCGAACGAAAAGTTTCCCCTCGAAACTCGTTTCCGAAACCTTTAAAGTAACCTAAAGAAAGTTTTCGAAAATGCAAAGTTTTTAAATTACCCAAAAGAAGATATTCTTGATAATTGCATTTTCGCCCCAATCCAAAGTTTTTTAAAATTTCAAAGAGATCATTTTGCTTCCGCTATATGATTAAATATCCGATAAACCGGTTCGTTTTATCGCCCGTATAGAAGGGGGGTGCTACAAATAATAATAATAATAATAATAATAATAATAATAATAATAATAATAATAATAATAATAATAATAATAATAATAATAATAATAATAATAATAATAATAATAATAATAATAATAATAATAATAATAATAATAATAATAATAATAATAATAATTAAAAAAAACGTCCATTCGTAAGGTCATAGAAGGTTGATTGGGAATATCATATTAAATAATACGAACCTAATTTTTGTTTCAAGAAAATAAAAATAATAATAACCTAAATTTCAAACGGTTATGTACACTTGTAACTGATGAAATTCTTAGCGTTCATTCATTACAAAGCAACGTTTCCAGCAACCCCTTATATGCCATGCATACAAGGATAATAGGTAGAATGATATTCATTGATAATAATATCAATTTTCAAATATTAAATTCTATAAATCGTTGGCAATTCTTCACTATTCATTACAAGGGGACGTTTCCAATTCATCTTTTAGCTGTGTACACCCTTCGTATTATGCCCGACCAAGAAATGAAATAGAAAAAGAAAAAAAATGTATGTGTAGACGCATAAAATTAATTAATTGGTTAATTAAATTAGCCAATTAAATTGTGTCTAAATTAAATTATACCTTGTCTTGCAAGACAAGTCATGGAGATAATTATTAATTAATTATTGGCCAATAGGATTATTTCTTCTCTTCCAAGTTATAAGAGATAAATATCAATTTAAAAAGAGCCAATCAAATCGCGCCACGTCATCAAGTAGACTTTAAGTAGGACTCTTATTCTACCACTATAAATAGGGACCCTCCCTACACAATTCAAAACACAACTCAAGAAGAAGAAAAACCGTAGGAGAAAATTCTCTCTACAATATTCAAGTCGTTCTTCAACAAATTCAAGGCGTTCTTCATCAAACATCAAATCGAGGGCGTTCTTCAACAAATCAAGGTCGAAGGAAGATTGAAGGGCCAAATCTATCAAGAACTCCAAGATCTTCAAGTCAAAACCCGTCAAAGTTCAGCGTTTCGATCCGAGATTCAAGTCGCAAGACCCTCGGAAGACGTTATTCAAATCCAAATCAAATCTGGAGAAGATCAAGTCAACGACCCGTCTCCGAAATTCAAAGTCGAACACATATTTTTCTTGAGAGAAGAATCAGAGGATTAAATTAGAGTTTGTAACCCGCAATATTTTATTTTAATTCAATAAATTATTTTTGTGCAAGTTTTTCTTGTTTGTCTAAATCGCAGATAAGAATTTGTTGCTACAAATTTTGGCACGCCCGGTGGGACATCTCTACCTCTCATCTCTTCTCTCTCTCAAAGATCCTCGAAGTGTTGCAGTGACTGCTCTACGTTCACAATGAAGATTGCTTCTTCGGATTCATCAAGTGTGGGCTTAGGTACAAGGAGTATGGCTAAGAAGCTACAAGCATCCTCCGAGACTAACTCGACGCCTCAAATCATTCAGAAAGGCTTACCACCTCTTGTCAACACAAGCGCAGACGTGGAAGGTTCAAAACGAGAGATTTCACATCCCACGCCTCGTTCAAGATCAAGCTACTCAGAGGTGGCATCCGTCATGACAACAAACGCTACAACCATGGAGGAGCAAATTGCAAGTTTGACAAAGGCCATTGAGGGACTCGCAAAGCATGTTCAACAACGAGATTCTCAAATTGCCGACATCAACAAGATGGACAAAGCCGATGCTAGTCAAGCTGTGGAGAATCAGATAGAGGCTCAAGACGAAGTCGAGACATTCACGAAGCAACAACAAGTTGAAAAAGAGAAGGCTCCAGCTCAAGAACTTCAAGTTTCTCCCGAAGAGCTGATTCATGTAGATCAAGTGATGACGTTGATCAGTAGAACAATCAAAGACAAGTTGGAAGGAA